ATTCATAAGGTTTCTCTCCAGTGTGGATTCTCTGATGTTGAGCAAGTTTGGCATTCTCTCTGAAAGCTTTTCCACATTGATTACATTCATAGGGTTTCACCCCAGTGTGGATTCTCTGATGTTGAGAAAGTTTAGAATTCACTCTGAAAGCCTTTCCACATTGATTACATTTATAGGGTTTCTCCCCAGTGTGGATTCTCTGATGTGCAACAAGAAATGAGCTCTGTGTAAAAGCCTTTCCACATTGATCACATTGATAAGGTTTCTTCCCAGTGTGGATTCTCTTATGTGCAGCAAGAAATGAGCTCTGTGTAAAAGTCTTTCCACATTGGTCACATTGATAAGGTTTCTCCCCAGTGTGAATTCTCTGATGCAGAGCAAGTTCAGAGTTTAGTCTGAAAGCCTTTCCACATTGATTACATTCATAAGGTTTCTCTCCAGTGTGGATTCTCTGATGGTGAGCAAGTTTGGATTTCACTCTGAAAGACTTTCCACATTGATTACATTCATAAGGTTTCTCCCCAGCATGGATTTTCTGATGTACAGAACGATCAGAGGTACTTCTAAAAGCCTTTCCACATTGAATACATTCATAAGGTTTCTCTCCAGTGTGGATTCTTTGATGTTGAGCAAGTTGGGAGTTCACTCTGAAAGCCTTTCCACATTGATCACATTGATAAGGTTTCTCCCCAGTGTGAATTCTCTGATGTAGAGCAAGGTCAGACTTTAGTCTGAAAGCCTTTCCACATTGATTACATTCATAAGGTTTCTCTCCAGTGTGGATTCTCTGGTGTGCAGCAAGACTGGAGCTGGAACAGAGAGCCTTGCCACATTGATTACATACATAAGGTTTCTCACCAGTGTGGGTTCTCTGATGTGCAGCAAGATTGGAGTTCTGTGTGAAAACCTTTCCACATGCATTACATTCATAAGGTTTCTCCCTAGTGTGGATTCTCTGATGTCCATAAAGTCCAGAGGTACTTTTAAAAGCCTTTCCACATTGATTACATTCATAGGGTTTCACCCCAGTGTGGATTCTCTGGTGCTCAGCAACACTGGATTTGCAACTCCAAGCCTTTCCAAACTCATTACATTCATGAGGTTTCCTGTCACTATGAATACTGCAGGATGAGTGTTCACTAAAAGTTTCACCACATTCATGACACTCATGTGGTTTCTTTCCATTATGAATTTTTTGATGGTAAGTAAGGGATGACTGTTGACTCAAGTCTTTCCCACAATGATGATGATCATAAGGTTGCTCTCCTGTGTGGAATCTGTGAAATACAGCACAGATATCTCTCCCAGTGAAGTCACAAGGACCATCACTCATGAAGCTTTCCTGGTGAGTCTCTTTCACAGAAATGCTTAGCTTTTCAGTAGTCTCTTTCATTTCAGGTCTAATCTCTCCTTCTGCAAGAAACAAATAATAAAACGCATATACAGACACATATACACCCATATCTAACTATAATCCCTTCCCTCCATTGGGACAAAGCAAACTAACTGATCTATATCCTACTTCCCCAGGCTAGGAGAAAAGTCTTCAAAGTTAAATGGACAGAATCAATCATTTGAAAATGCCACTAGGTCACCTCTGCAGGACAATTTGACTTACAAAGAGCTTCACACACAATCACATTGGATCCTCAACCACCTGTGACACTGGCAGACCCAGGGCTTTCTTACTACATTCTCAAGTCAGGCCATGAGCTCAGAATGGCTGAGTGACCTGACCAACATCTCTGCAGCTGAGACTAGAACTCCATCCTTGCAGGTGGCCTGTTCTGTCCACAGAACCAAGCAGCCTTTCTCCATTATACTTCCTTGGTTTTTTTTTTTAAGAAAAATTATTTTATTATTGCACATTGACTTGTTCTCTCCCTCTCTTTGGGTCTTCCTATTCCCTGAGCCACAACAATATTGAGATTAGGACAATTAATATCCCTACAATGGGGTTTTAAGTTCAAGGGAAAAGAAAAATTAATCAATGTGACAAACTTCATTTAGGCAATTGCCATGGCAACCACCAACCTTGAGCAACCACCACTGTGATGAGTCAGCAGACTCAGATGATAGCTACCTTTTATTGCCAATAAGATATTTTTAAAGTATGTACATTTTTTTAGACATACTAGCATTGCACATGTCATAGACAACAGTATGTTGTAAACATAACTTTGATATGCACTGAGAAACCAAAAATTCAGGGGATTCACTTGACTGCGCTATTCACGTTATCATAGAGCTCTGGAACTGAACCTGCAGGCATATCTGGGTTGCCTGAAATTTTTCTCATTCTTGTTTTGATTTTGACTCTTTCCTTCCTAATTCTACTCTCCTTCTTAAACCATTACTAGCCTCACTCCTTGAGTTTGCTTATATGCCACTGAACTAGATGTCTTTCAATTCACAAACACTCTCCACGCCCTGGATCAACTGAGACAGGACCTTGATATGTTGCTTTTTTTCAAACCATCTCCATGTGTGTATGCCAGACTGGGAACTCTTTGACAGCAGGCACTGGCATTTCCCTTCCTAAAGCTTACTGAACTGCCTAGAAACCTAGAGGGGCTTAATTTATGCTTACTGACTGGGCCCAAGGCTGACACCAGGCCCCAGCCTCGACCCCAGTCCATGAATTCTGGTCCCTCTCTTAGTTGGCAAATGCAGGTTCTGTCCTAGGTCCTGTTTCTGGCTCTTTCTTGCACCTTATGTCCTGTACTGAGTGACCTCTGTCTGGTTCTAACCCTGATGGGACCTCACCAGACCCACAGTGAAGATCACAGACACTTCTTTTCAGGCTCCTGAGCCTCTCATACTATAGGAGACTTGGGAGTTTCTACTTCCCACTTTCCTAATCCAAGAGTGGCTAGCAACTCAATGAATTAGGCCAACAATTCTTCAAGAATGGGCCAAAGATTGAGCCTTAGAGATCAGGGAAGGAACAGAGGTTGATGATTTCTGTAAAGCACAGCCTTTGATTAATGCTAAATAAGGCAATAGCCTTTGCTACTACTTAGATGCTACTGAATGGAGAGAGAGAAAATCACAAAACCAAGCTGCCTGGGTCCTTGTAAATTTAGGGTACATCATTTCAGTGTGGACCTCACTGTGGCAAGGCATCTTTGACATCTCCCTAATTGACTCCCTTGGGGTAGCTAGGTGGTGCAGTAGATAGAGTACTCATTAGAAAGACTCAAGTTCAAATCTAGCCTCAGACACCTGCTACCTGTGTGACCCTGGGCAAGTCACTTAGCCCTGTGCACCTCAATTTCCTCATCTATAAAATAAGCCTAAAAAGGAAATGGCAAATCATTCCAGTTTCTTTGCCAAGAAAACCCCAAATTGGATCATAAAGATTCAAAGATAACTGAAGTGACTGAAAACCACATA